ATGGAAAAGAGTATTTATGATGGGTTTTGGAGAAAACTATCCATGAGAAAATATCAGATTATGATTGCATAGAATAAAAATACAATCATCGGCAGGTTTCAAATCTGCAAAGTCCAAGAGACACAGATTTTAACTCTGGTGACAACTTGACTAAGACCAATGAAGATCGATGTCTGAGATACTGTCTATGAGAAAATGTTCAAGACATGTTCTCAAAAAAATATGACATTCAATGGGTTTCAAACCTGTTGCATTGCAGTAGAAACAGATTTTGATTCTGTTATGACAACCACTCGGCCAAATACAACTTTGATCAGCTTGCAAGCAAACCGACCATCAGCATATTTCAAGGTGTGATTTTATAATAATAAAATGTCATGACTGGCAGGTTCAAAACCTGCATGGTCCAAGAGAAACAGATTTTGACTCTGGTGATCACTTGACAATGTCATCTTTAGCAGGTTTTGAACCCATGCAGATAGATTTAGATTCTGTTGTATTAACTGCTCGGCTAAGACCAGTTAGATGCACTCTTGATGGACCCATTCATAAGTGAATCCTCAAGGCATATTTATCTGCATTCTGTCAGTTCTTTTAATAATATGGTCACCATGATTGATTTTTTTGATTCTACTCTTATTGCAAAAGACATCAGACTTCTTCTGGGCCTCTACTTCAAGACCTATTTATTCAGCAATTGCTCCAAAAATGTGCTGATGGCAGACCACCATGGTGGGCTGATGATGTAATGTGAGAACTGACAAAATGCAGATAAATGTACCTTGAGGATTCACTTCTGAATGGGCTCATTGGGAGTGCATCCAACTGGTCTTATAGCTAAGCAGTCAATACAACAGAATCTAAATCTGTTTGTGTGGGTTCAAAACCTGCTAAAGATAAAATCTGCAAGTAAACATCAGAGTCAAAATCTGTTTCTCTTGGACTGTGCAGGTTTGAAACCTGCCAATGATGCCATTTTCATTTTATGAAAAAATTAGACCTTGACATTTCCTTATGAATCATATATGTGTTTTTCCTGGGTGAACACACCTTGACATTGACTCATGTGTACTTTCATGTTGTAGCTCATGCTCCCAAACATCTGCTTTATACGGTGTTTGTGAGCCTCTTGCAAAATCTCCTCCCAACATCACAAAGAGGCTGAAGATGCTTTGAATGCAGCAATTCAACAACTGCTCACTGAAGAATCCCAAAAGGTTCATGATACCTTCCTGCCGAGGGGCATGAGAACATCACATGATCTGTGGTTCATATATTTGCCTTGCATGCAAATATTTCTTTCTTTCATACCACAACCTTCACCTGTTGTTTCTCGCCTCAATGGGCGTTCACCATCGATGATGGTGGCCATTGCAGCATGCTGCATTGTTTAGATTCTCTCACATTTGGAATCGTTCACGTTTGGTGGTTCCTTGCCCCAATGGGCATTCACTGTCGATGATGGTGGCACTGCTCTGCACTGCTTGTAACTTTCATCATCCAACTACTTGGTCCTTGCTCCTCGCACGGTGGTCTTCTCGCCTCAATGGGTGTTGAATGTTGATGACAGTGACCACTTCTCCTGTCCTCTCTAACGTCACTCCAATAGTCTGATCTACTGTTCCTTGGTTCATGGATGATGTGTCTGTCCCCCCAATGGCCATTCACCATTGAAGATGATGCCCCACCTCTATTCCACTGTCAGACTATCTTTTGATGTCATGCTATGTCTTATGTAGATATAGTTTGTAATACTGTTCCTGATCATACATGGCTTGTGAATCGCAGAAATTTTACCTAGTTCCAAATATTCTGAATAAGAGCTTTCATTCGTCAAAGTGTTTTGAATTTTTGCTTCATGACGGAGCCTTGGATGGTCAACCTCCAAACATATGCTGACACTGTTTATGAAAATGAAAAAGATGGTGATGTATGGGAGGACAACTAACAAATAAAGTTTTTGACCATCAAGGATGACCATGAACATGGAGTAAGCTCCACAGTGCCAACGCTCAGCGTTCCACCACGTATCCAAAACATTTCTCTTGCCGTTACAATTTTGTTGACTGAAATGTGTGAGGCGATAAAGACTCTTCACCATTGATTCCTATCTCTACTGGATGAAGTCAATGCTGGTTCTTCTTTGTCATTGGAAGATCTAGAAATTCACCTAGACTGGGATATCTGCTAACCTTACTTTGTCCTTCAAGGCAATAGCAGAAACGGATTATTGAAGAATGCTTCTGCATCAATATCTGAAGCCTTCACTTCAATAGAAATATTGAGTCCTGTAACATCTGAAATACTTAATATTAGGTTAAGGACAACTCAATTGAGCTTTGTAAATATGCTTACAATCAGATGTGAAAGATACTTGCGGTGCCTGTGCAGATACCAGATATTGCTGTCTGACAATGACAAACAGTGTAAGATGAAATTGAAGGCATCCGACAGCTAGCCTGCGACGTGGAGCGGAATCCTTTGTAGATTATCATTCTTCTTTTTGTATGACAGCACAAACCTGACACTTCTGGAGTTGCAGTATGGAGATTCGGTGCCACTGGAGACAGGAGGAAAGAAATGTCCTTTACACGACTCGTTATTGCTTGTAATACCTTCCATAGCAGTGAAGAAGAAATATTTTTGCACCTGTGTTACATGTTCTAAGGGTGATTGATTGCCCTGGTGTATACCATAGCCCACCATTTAAATACAAATAAATCAAGGTTTGTTCACATTCAATCTTTGTAAAGAGACTCACCAATTCATGTTCAGTTGTCAGAATCAATGTCTGAGAATGACAATTATCCTTAAATCATTCGAGGAGCATCTCTGCTACTCTCCCAGCGTGCCCACTGCATTCTGTACCACATGCACACCTCAAGCTTGGATATACACCCGGAGTGCCCATGTGTATCATGCCTGCTATGCTACCTGTCAACCAAGGCACCACAGTCAATTCGGCCAGTGATCCACAGGAACAGTGAAGGGGGAATACTGACTGATTTGTGTCAGGAATGTCACCACCATTGTCGGTGTTGATGTCTACCAATATACATCCAATTTCAGCAGCATAAAAACTGTCCAGGTGCAAAAGCAAGCTATGACACTCTTACACCCACGATAGAGAACACGGCGCGCCTGCTGGGCAGTTACGGCAGATATAGGAGGCACATCCTATTGATGGGAATGTGAGAATGTGGAATATCAACCAAGGACTCGGATGAAGTTACTCAAGTTTGATGGTGTTTGATGCTACAGAGAAGTCCTGTGTTTCTTGTGATAATGAGATTGTACTTATTTGAGTGGTGCTTTTGTCATTCATTTCGCATGCATGATATGATGAAACACTGCATAAGAGACAATACACTTCAGATTGTCTTTATTCAAGTGGTACTTTTGTCATTCACTTCGCATGCACCATCTGATGAGACATTGCATAAGAGACGATATGAATGTATTTTATTTTAGAGACAGCAAAGCTCTCCTGCTTTCCTTCTTCAATTTAATTTAACAAGGAAATGCTCCACCTATATTTTGAGCGCTCAAGTGAGTCTAATATTGTCCAAGTTTAGAAATCAAAATAATTACTTAATCTCTCCTTGCAGCATCGCATGTTATTCAAACTGTGTTCTCTCAGTCTTTCTCTTTGCCATTTCGATTATCTTGTTTCACAATCTACCTGCCCATCTTACAATATCTATTTTCTATGGCTCATCAGATCAGAAAGTGTCATGCTGTAGAGCCTGCATCGACATGGAAGCACATGGAACAAATCAGACATGATTTAACTGTTTGTCTTCTCAATACATACAAAAAAGTAATTGTAAGCACTGATTTTGTCTTCTCAATACATACAAAAAAGTAATGGAATTCAGAATACGAACAATGAAGACAATTCACATGTCTGATCTCCCAGTCCGCACTCTATTGCAGCTCAGCACGTGTGTGGACTTGTGGAGATGCTGGAACGTGTGGAAGAGCAGGTGGAGGTCCTTCAGGATCAATTAAGAGAGTAGTACAAAGAAGAATGTGAACTGACACATGTAAAGCATGAAGAAGAGTTGGAGAGGTACTGTGATCGCATTGATTTGTTGGAGGAACAAGTGACTTATCAGAAGGCCATGCTCAATGTCACAACCGAGGAGGTAGAGATGTTAGAGGAAGATACAAAGTGTTGAGATGGGAATGAAGTGGGCTGCTTCTAGAGGCTACTGAGAAACCAGAAGAGATCAGACTAGAGTCCAGAGTAAGTTGCCAATGTATTGAATGCTATAGTGAAGTTGTACAGTACCTAGAGTCCAGAGTAAGTTGCCAAAGAGGCAGGGAGCACTGGACTCTGGGATATGGGCGACGTATGGTAAACAAATGTAAACAGACAAGCCACAATCAAAGGGTAAGTAATAACTCGACCTAGGGACGTCCTAGGGAGATCAGGAAGTCATGTAAATAGGTAGCAAAGTGTAAGGAATGATACCGTAAGTGAAATGGCAAGGTTAGACACATAGAAGACATAGAAATGCGTACTGTAGAGGTGAATGATCATATAACTAACACAAAGATGCTGAAGAAGATCAGGAGGTCATTGAATGCATGCATGGGGATGACCTGGAGATGCGAATGTCCGTTGCAGTTTTGAAAGAAAATATCATTGAAATCATAGGTGACACTTACTTCTAACATGTTATATAGCAACAACATGAACAGTTTGTTAGTCTCTCTGTCTCGTTCTTATGCATCTTTAACCCATGCTTTCAGATTTCTTTCAAGTGCAATAAATGTTATATTGCACATGAGTGCTGGAGAAACGTACCAATAGTTTGTGTATACATTGTCATCTTCATTGTGTCATTTACGTGTCTTCGTTTTCCTACTTGTCGAGCTCGCATTCTCCACAACCAGAATCCTCTGCCTTTTTTCCAACCCTAGTTCACATGAATTGCGTCACCTCTCTACATCATCCCTATAACTCTTAACACCAATTCCGCGCAAGCCTCGCAATGAATGTGTCGTCACTGCCTGTCAATTTGTTTTTGAAACGGTGCGTCATGACCAGGAAGCATGGCAGCCATCTCTCTTCATTCTCAACTATCTACTGCGACTACTTCTCTCTTCATCCTCGACGATGTAGGGGAGGACATGGCTTTGACACTGGATACTCACTCTGACCAACACTTGTTCAATCATCGCGACATAGTATGTCACACTGTCTATCTTTTCTCTTTCTACTTCATTCCTTTACATTTCAGTTCTCTCTGCCTTGACCATATCTCATTGTTACCACCACTTCATTTTTCTCTCTTTGATGATACTTCCACCACTCCTTCCATCTTTCAACCACCCTTTGATAACACTCGCTTGCACTCTCCACTTGTATGGCTCACCACCTACTCCCATATTATGTGCTGAATGATGATGTCATAATCTGGCATTCGAGACTCACCATTGGAGGTGCTGCTGCCTGTGGTGGCCAGTATTATGTGATGCTTGCACCGAAAAATAATGCTGTGGACAACAAATTGTATGTGCTGAGCTGTTGTAAATGGATTCGCCGTTCTTCGCTCGTTCATGGTTAGTGGCTATATGATTCTCCACTTGCTCTTCAGTGAGTTGAATCCACAAGCAATGCTCATTAACCAGTGCATTGAACAGCATCACCAGGTGTTCGTGGTGGCAAATCTTGCCAGGCTACTGCATGGAGCAATAAGCAAACATGTATGTCATGAATGTTGTTCCCATGCTATCTTGCTCTCAATCCTCACCATAAGTGTTTTATGATGTCCCCTAGGAATGGAAACACTTATCCACAATCCAACGTGTACATGAGAATCAAGGACTATGAAAGCATCTCTTACTTACATATGGAAAGACCAGTTGGCTGTGAAGAAGAGCAACATGCAGCGAGCAGTCGTATGTTCTCCCATCCTACTTGTCTCATTTAGTTCTAACATGAATACTTGGAGAATTGACAGCTAAGACACGGCAACTACTTGCAAAAGCTGCCCTTGAAGTCCATCAGGCAACAACTGGAGATCCTGAAACACAGTTTGCTGACTATGGTAACTGGAACCACGACAACCATCTTCCAAATGGTGCTCACGCAGACAATGAGGAGGAGACTGAAAACAATGCTGGTGACCAAGCGCCATACTCAGAGGTTGGGGCTGTGGGACAAGATGACACAGCCCTGAGTGCAATGTGCGCACAGGTCATCATTTGGTGAGTTAAGTTCTCTGGTTGTTCTCGTTTCTTGCTGTATATCAGTTTGGAAGGCAGGAAAAATTGTCGTCATGGAGCACCTCGTTCTCGTCTCCATCGTAATTGAGAGATGCATGCTGCATGGTCCAATCAAATGACGGACTTGGCCAGCTTGTTCCTCTGGTGGAAGCACTGTGGTGTTGAGAGTTTGACAAGTGAAATCAATGGTAAAATAGGGTCAACATTTCACCTTACAAATGTTGGTTTCTTGAGTAGGTGTCAAGCATATTGATCTTCTCGTTGACAGGCAGTTATTTCCAGGTTTCCGTGCTGTTTAAACAATCCATCAAGCGCCAGATGAACTTGCCAATGTTTCTCTGATCAAAGCAGGCTTTTTAGGTTGTTCCCCACAACAACCTACTGCTGCTATCACTCTTGAATATCTCGAACTTGATCATCAAATCTGCCACCACAAGCATTCATTTAGTGTGCAAGCCATGGGCGAGGTCCTTTGCGTGCTCGATAAAGTGCGCAAATAAGCTTCCTCACTGTGCCTCACTAATCTGACTGTAGTGCATATAAATGAACACCCCTTGACCCTGCTCGACTTGACAGCATGGATGCACTAAAACTCGTGTACATTCGTATCTTATGTGCTACATAGGTCAGTGCTTTGCAAAATATTGTTCATGTCATCAATGTATTCTAAATGATCACTTCTCAAGTCTCTGCTTTTCTTCCCACCAACACTTCATCTCTTTATCCAACCTCTCCAACCTTTCATCCTCTGAGATGTTTGGATGGATGCATTAAACAGTTTGAGTTTTGTGGAGTGCCTATATCTATGATTGAGTGACTGATTGTTTGTCCTTGTGACCTGTAGTCAGTGAATGCATAAGCAGATGGCAGCGGCAGCTGGCTACAATTTTCCACATCAAGATCTGTCTCAACATTGAATGTGACCATCACATCAACCTCATGTGGCAGTCCTCCCCTTGCCTCTTGGCTGCTTCCTTTCTTCTGCTTCATTGCCACCGCAAGTCTTTCTTCTAATGTCAGTGGGCATCCATGGATTGTGTCATATGCAGCGGATACTAATAACTGTCTGTCTGTTCTCCTGCAGAACTCTTGGCCCATGGCAGCATTCCACTGTTTGCGTACAGCATGACGAGGAGTTATGAGCACTGCATCATTCCATGGTGGTATACTGAAACTTGTTGGAGGACACTTTGGATTGGTGATGGTAAGTGAACGAAGCAACCTGATGTGGTGTTCATGAGAAATCCTATAGTGAACATGTTCCCAATAGATCTTGTGATTTGGGATCCATGACTCATACTTGTTCCTTCAATTGAACCACCACTGTGAACTCCTCGTAAACATTCCGACCCAGCTGCTCATCTGTGGTGTCCCTTGCAGTGTCACATGGCCAGAATAATGGAGCAGATCTTCGAGTTGCTACAGGTTGAAATTGATGGAAATCTCCAACAATAATGACATGGACTTCTCCGAATGCCTGGTCACTATGACCGCTGCCAGATGCAGACTTTGCAACTGAGAGTATGTATGACAACATCGCAAGAAAAGCATGACCGACCATTGAAACCTCATTGACAATAAGATATAGCCTGTCTGCCCAAAATGCCGCAAGATTGCTCTTCATGCTAGCCGACTAATTTTGATTTCCTTTGACCAGTATGCAGGCAATGACATGTAATGTTTTTCTCCTGATAAGTGATGCTGCGATACCTGTGTATGCAGCCTTCACCAGACAACCTCCAGTTCTGTGAGCAACAATGTTCTCTGTGATGGTTTGAATAGTCTTTGACTTGCCTATGCCTCCCTCACCAGGTATCATTATTAGTGGCTGTGGTGGATTCTTGCCAGTGAGAGTTGCCCTCATATGCCAATCAATTGTTAGTTATATGATCATTCACCTCTACAGTACACACATTTCTATGTCCTTTATGTGTCTAACTATGCCATTACACTTACGGTATCATCTCTTACACTTTGCTACCTACTTACATGACTTCCTGATCTCCCTAGGATGAGTTATTACTTACCTTTGGATTGTGGCTTGTCTGTTTACATTTGTTTACCATATGTCGCCCATATCCCAGAGTCCAGTGCTTCCTGCCTCTTGCACACAACCTTAGAGCTAGTTCGGAAACTCGATAGATCAGTGATAGCGAGGGTATGATACTTTATTGACTCATGGATGATCATCAACCACCAGGGTTTGCAATGGATCGTCAACACCTAGCTGCGCTCATGACGAATCCTCGGCCAGAGATCCGGGAATGACTACTGAAATGTATGGTACTAGTAATCAGCATTGTCGTTTCTGCCACCCATAGTATACTACAGTCCATATATCCTAAGGATCTGGAACCCTACCATACTTCAGCTCTATCCGGGCAAGACTGGGTTATCGAGTTGCTCACCAGTCACCCAGAGCGCATCAGGTGTGAGCTTGGCATGCATGCCAATGCTTTTGTGGAGCTTATCTCCAAGCTTCACACCATGGGCCATTCAGACTCCAAGTTTGTGTCCCTCGAGGAACAACTTGCGATTTTTCTCTACACCTCCGTGACTGGCCTATCAATCAGGCACGTTGCCGAGAGATTCCAACACTCGAACGAAACGATTTCACGGTAAGTTTTTAATTTTAATTTGAACAACAGTATTTGATATTATGCAGTTATTTCCGCAAGATGCTTATCATTTTCACGTCTGACCCTTTCTATCCAAAATACGTATGCTTTCCAGACGGTTCAGTCTCTCACAAAGTTCGGAAGAACCCCAAATGGTGGCCCTTTTTCAAGGACGCTATTGGGGCACTTGACGGTACTCATATCCACATCACGCCTAAGGCCATCAAACGTCCTGTCTATCGTAATCGCAAAGGCTTTGTATCCCAGAACTGCCTCTTCACTTGCAATTTTGATCTGAACTTCACGTACACGCTTACGGGCTGGGAAGGGTCAGCCACTGATGCACGTGTTTACGAGGATGCGTGCTCTTTTGAAGACGGCTTTTTTGAGGATGGTCTTGATGCTGACATGGTCACAGAAGATGATGCGGCCGCTATTGAAGAGGATAACAAGGATAAATTCCATCAAGGAGCTGCAATGCATGATCGCATTGCAGCAGCGATGTGGACCAAGTATTTGGTTAGATTCCGACACAAGAAAAACCATATACTATGAAACTGTGGTTGCAATCTTGCTGGGATTGGGTCATGATGGGAGGATTAGTATGAACTACCCACTCTGCTGTAATGTGAGTGTTATATTCAGATAGTGTACAAAGCAGATATATACATCTATTGCGCCATTGATTGTATAGTAAAAGTGCTAAATAGGTGGTTTTGTACATATTCTATTTACTGAGTGCCCTAGCAAACAACTCACATATCAGCGCCTTGAATGCCATACATCATGGGGCTTTCTATCGCGCCAAGGGACATTTACTTCTCCATGGCTGAGCTTTCCCACTCACGACCTTTGATATACTTGCTCTGAACGTCGAGGTTTGCCATATTGTGTCAATCTGATTCCTCTATGTCCTGGATGCGCTTCTGCTGGGAATTGACAATTCGCCTCAAACGATTGAGACATGTCTTGTCTTTCTGTCCTCTGCCCTGCGTCTGATTGGTTGTATTTGACGACCATCCCTTAGACTCATGATGACATCCTCAAGGTCATCGATTAGCTCCCGGAGTTCTGCTGGAGACTTCCTTGACAGTCCATTTGCACTGCCCAGAGATAGAACAGTGACTTTATCATCCTGCTCATTGTTTTATTTGTTAGATTTTGTCATGAAAAGATACAAAATCAATGAATACCTCTTTCATTGGTGAGTAGAAGTAGTCATCTAAGTGACGATTTCTGGTAGAATAGGACATTGTAGATTCAAAATATCTAATAGAAATGTGAGGTAGATGAGACGGGGTAGTAATGGTTGAGTCCTGTCAGTCAAAGGGAAAGACGGATGTGATTAAGTATGCGACGCAGGTGTGGTTTGTGTCACAAATTCAATCCACACATGAACACAATATATTGTATCACATGATTTATTTGGCCAGAGGTGTGGTCTAATTCGCGAATTCAATGCACATATTAACTCAATAGATTGGCAAGACTAAAATATATTGTATCAAACAGTGTGTTTGGCCACAGGTGGTCGCATATGTGATCCACACAAAAACGCAATGAATGAAACTGGACATGTGCATGCAGGTGTGGTTGGCTATTTGATGCACACCAGAACACAATACATCAAATTGCAAATTTGGACGCAGGTGTTGTCACGTGTTTTATTCACGCTTGAACACAACGCATAAACTTGAACATTTGGACGCAGGTGTGGTCACAGATTTGATCCACACCTAATCACAATACATGTAATTAAAACTTTGTACACATGTGTGGTTTAGTTTGTATATTGTATACACAACAGGATGGCTCATTTTCTGCAAACTACTTGAGACATATTATGGTTGAATCTTTGAAACAGCTCCATCATTTGATTGAGAGGAATAATCCTATCCATGATTGCATTCCTCTGCAGAACGATTGTGAAGACTAGATACCATTATTGTCAAAATCTGTTTACAGGGATGTAGTAGAATGTCATTGGGTTTTTTTGTGTGATATATCATAATCATCGCTGGGCCTTCATTTGTCCGATCATCCTTCTTCACCATGATATTTGTATCATGTATATCGCCATGGACCAGCTGGCGGATGCGAGGCATTGGAAGGTGATTGTGATCTTTTCGACTTTGAATGTGATTTTGTCTTTTGGAATAGTCATCCATATTTGCCAGGAAGGACTTCCGTGCCATTTTGATGGGGTCCTCTTCATCTATGACGTTTTTCACCCTCAAAGGAGGATTCATCGACCCTGTCAGCTGGACATTAATGTCATTCAATGAGATCATGCAATTAATGCACTATTAGTGTCAGAATACACTTGAATAACGACATGCAGATGCTCAAGAACTGGAACACCCAAGAAGTAATTGGATATCAGTTTTGATTGTGTAACATCGAGCAAGTGACCTGCATTAATGGTATCAAGACTCTCTCGGAGGTCGTCCTCAGACTGTGATATTCTAGCTCAGCCACAGGGACCCTTGGTTTGTACAGTCGCAGAGCTGAAGCTGGCACATCGAGATCTTGAGATGCCTTCAACTCTGTTTTCAGGGCATGAACAGTGTCAAAGTGCAAAATTTTTAAACCAAAATGTTGGTTGATTTCGGTACCTCGTATCCAACAGTACAGCATGAACACATTGGACATGGTGGTTGAAAGTCAAGATGGAAAATGCCATAATTAGAACCAATGTGTTCATGATTACATCAGCGACTCACAACCGTGTGACCAAGAATGAATGTATTAATCAAATTAAATGAAAGACAGCTTGCAATGATGGGGACTGTCTGAGGTGACCCATGATCCTTCTAGGCCTCATTGCGCCAAGTATAAACTTGAAAATGCACCTACCGAAGATGAAAAAGCTCATATCCACAACAGTAATCACAAGGTAGGCAGACTGCTATTTGCATGCTATGTATCAGCTAAAGTCTCACAAAATACATCTATGCAAGACATAGCAGGATATTGGAGGAGAATCCAACAGCAGAACAGCTGTGGGGCATCATCATTGACAGTGAATGCCCATTGAGGTGAGAGAACCACAAGTACAAACCAAGGTGCAGAAGATTTGAGGGTGAGAAAGTTTGAGCAATGAAGATTATGCAGGAGTGGCCACCATCATTGACAGCGAATGCCCATTGAGGCAAGAAACCACAGGTGAAGGTGATGGTACAAAAGAAAGAAAGAATTGCGCACAAGCAAAATATATAGAGTTGAATTCATTCATGTTGATCTCCTCTCCGACAAGCACCTGAGCAATTGGATCATGAAGGTCGCATGGGTTGATGGTCAACCAGGCTGCTGGCCCACGCAGTGTCAAACATGATCCCCAGATCTTCCCTTGATAAGCTGCACATGAGCGATCTGACCCCATGACACGACCACTACTAGCAAAAACATGTTTCACGAAGAGATGAACACAGGGATTACTGATGGGCAGTTTTTTTGCCTCTTTCTTTTCAGCCTGCTTCAAATCTGCGATAGTCAATATGCCAGGGCTAGAGAATCATGATCAAAGTCTCGAACCACCGTCCTTCACAAAACTGACTTCAAAGTCTTGTTTTCAGTCTGATCAATTGTACTATCAGCCATAGCAGAATTGGCATTGCACAATGTGTTCACGTCCTTCTAGCTTTGTTCTTCCATTGTGCGTCTTTGATTTATTTCCCTCTAGCTTTGTTCTTCCATTAGGCATCTTTAATTATTTTCCACCACAGACCTACTTCACCTACATCATGTCATATATGCAGGTTCGTCAAGGCTTCCTTTTTGATGATTTGCAGGTCGGATCACACAGGTAATAGGGCATCAAGCTATTATGTGGGACTACATTCCTGACCATTCATTTTGGACAGCCATTTTGTCTTCTGCTTTGTCTGTCCCACGACATCGGATCATCTCTATTTTTTTTTGTTCCAAGCAATGTTGTAAGTTGTGATTGGCATGTCATGTTGTGGCGCCCGATATTAACAGTAGATGTAGCTGGCACTATAATTCAGGCAAAGTAGTGCTAAGTCTGGTCTTCTGCTTCGTGCTTACTACAGCTGTGCAATGATGCATTGTTTGCATTTTCGCCTCTGAATAATCAGCGTAAGTTATCGCACAATTCATGTTTCAAACTTGTGATGCTTGGCTCTTAAACTGCAGACAGAATTTATGTATGAAGACTGAAGAGAAATAGATGTGAAGCTCACCATTCCAACGTCAATGTAGTAATGCACTTACTCTCCTGATTGCCTGCCTTTGCTTACTTCCAATGTCCGTGACCAGTGATCAACCATCCCCTTCTGCAGCTTCTGCCGCTGAAGTCCTTCACAAGTTAATCTCTGGCAACTCTGCTAATGGCACCAGCTTCTACACTGCTGGCACAAGTGTTGTGTCTCAGGCTGAGTTCTATGTTGGTGGTCGTGAGGGCGATACTCTCACTGTCAAGCAGTCCAGTAGTGATGAGCCCACAGAGTTCATAATGAGTGGTGTCTTTGGGATTGACCGCCACAATTTCTACTTCACTCCAGACGCCAACGTTGATCCTAACAACTCATTTCGCAGCAAATTTTCCGAAGTCAAACTCAGCTGCCATATCCTTCCTGTCACATGTACTGTACAAGAACAAATGTCTGATACTTACTAGATAAACTGAAATTTTTTAGTCATGCAATGATCAATACCCAGAGTGGTAAACAAGGTGCCTGCCGGCGCAGCTCAGCCCTCTTTCAAGTTTCGTTACAAAACTTTCATAAAAAATCACTCCTTCCACACATTTGATTTGAGGTAATCAAACTCCAATAGAAAATTCTCGCTGCTGAGGGGCGTGAGACTATCACATAATGTGAAGTTCATAGCTAAGGACACATATGCAGCAGCAAAGTTCTTTTTCTTTGTTGTAGAGACTGTCCTCGAGACACTGTTTCAGATGAAAGTAATCACAGGGTCGAGGAGCCCTACACATCCTCCTTACTCCCACCCTCCTAATCCAGATCTGCCTGACTGGGAGGCAGAGTTGAAGGAACGAGAGTGCTGGGCAGTGCGCTCACAACAAATCCATACATGCAAACGATCTACATGTCTTTGCATCAATCAGTTTGGAAAGCTGGAGTGCAAGTGACAGGCACCTCAGGAGTTATCAGAAGATGTCATCATTGATGAGCATGGCAACTAGAGACCGCAACAATCCTATGCATACTTGAACAACTATTGTCCAGCAATATCAATAACACTGCACTGCAATAATGATATGAAGCTGATTACGAATTGCCACAATATGAATGATGTTGCATGGTACACATCAGCCTATCAAACAAAGAAGCAGGGGAAGACACATAACCTTTCAGCCCTTATCGCAGATTCACTCATGTACCATCAAGAGCACTCCTCGTCCGATGATGACCTTCTTGATTGAAATCGGCTTCTCTTATTTCGTTGCCACCATACCATCAACTGTGAAGCGCATCATTATGTTCCCATATACTGGTCGTCACTTGCAAGTATGATATGGACAACATTCCCAAATCAGCGGAAGTTCACGAAGAGGTTGGTTCCTGTTGATGAATTCAGAAATCATTCCTTACTATACTATTCTAGAGACACATCCAACTCACCAGAACAAGGTACTGAGGATTCAGACTTGGAGGTAGATGGTGGCATTCCTGATCGACGAGGAACAAATCAGTGTGCCAAAGCAGCAGGAAATTTTGTCCACATCAGAATTGACTCTTGCAGCTCCTAGAGGGACACTACAGAATCCTTGCTTCCCAACGCCCTCAGCTCGCTTCCTGTGCCTTCCTGCATCATCTGTACTCCATTCCACCCATCCCTGAGCCTTGAGTCCCTGAGCACCCTTATTGCCAGGATTGAGGAGGGCATGGCCAAGATCCAAAGATTGTGCCCTCAGGACTCTAGTAAGCCCTACAGTCTTTCCACCCTTGATGCTGAGCTGGTGTCTATGGCCATGATCCATGCTTTTGGCGAAGACTATGCCCAATTTGCATCTAGCCTGATCCTCCTCAAGTCCTTGGACAAGAAGGAACTCAAGGCCGCCTTCCTTACTGAGGAAACCCAGCACTGTCGACATGCTGATGCCCTCAGAGTATCCTCTAGTGATTCTGCCCTTGTCTCTGCCGCTGGGGTGCCGCCTAGTAGCTGTAAGTGCGGTGCTAATGCTGTCTGTGACTTCTGTAAGAAGGCAGACCATTGTGTGCACCAGTGCTTTGCCATGCAGCACGCCAGAGAGGTGCACAAGACTAGGCAGGCATCCAATCAGCCTGGCAAGTCAGGCAGGAGGTCTAGGAACGCTGACAAGGCCTCTGAGGTGTCCTCTACCATGTCCCAGCCCTCCCCTGGGTCCAATGCCTCATCCAATGCGTCCTCCAGTGTCCCTGCATCTGCAAACACATCCTCCACTGTCCAGAACACGACTGAGTTTGCTGGTAATGTAAGTCTCCGCTCTTTTGACTCCTCTAGTCCTCTATGCCCTCTCCAGCTTGATGCTGACGTTGATTGGAATGCAGACACAGGGGCCACTTCTCATATGACCCCACATCACCACTACATTTGCAACTATACCCCAAAACGCATGCCAATTCAACTGGCAGATTCTACTATGGTCTATTCAGCTGGGGTGGTGTCAGTGGTCTTTAATCCTATGTCTGTGGGCGAGGTAAAGAGTCTTAGAGCGGTCGAGTTCACTCGAGTCTTGCATGTACCTGATCTTTGTAACAATCTCCTCTTAGTCCTGTATTTAACTCGAAACTGCGGCTTCCATGTCGATATATCCTCTTCTCACATGACCTTCTGTCGACCTAAGGGTTTCCCCTCTTCTACACCTCTATCAACTCCAACAACGCCGCATTTCTGGACGGCACCACCTCTCCTATGACCGAGTTCACTTCCCCAGCCTCTACATGTCCTATGGACATCACCCTCTGGCATAGACGACTCACTCATCACCACAAAGCTGGTGTCAGGACGCTCATTGACTGTAATCTGGTCACTGGACTTAGGCTGGACTCAAGGGCATCACCAGACCCTATCTGCGAGCCTTGCCTTGCTGGTAAGATGCATGCCAACCCCTTCCCTCCTAGCAAGTGGAGGGTGAGCCGTCCTTTGGAGCTTATTCACACTGATGTTCACCAGCTCCCCTACCGCACTCAACTGTTAAGATGGGAGTGAAGTGGGCCACTTCTAGAGGCTACTGAGAGACCAGAAGAGATCAGACTAGAGTCCAGAGTAAGTTGCCGATCTATTGAATGGTATAGTGAAGTTGTACTGTACCTAGAGTCCAGAGTAAGTTGCCAAAGAGGCAGTAAGCACTGGACTCTGGGATATGGGCGATGTATGGTAAACAAATGTAAACAGACAAGCCACAATCAAAGGGTAAGTAATAACTCGACCTAGGGACGTCCTAGGGAGATCAGGAAGTCATGTAAATAGGTAGCAAAGTGTAAGGAATGATACCGTAAGTGAAATGGCAAGGTTAGACACATAGAAGACATAGAAATGCGTACTGTAGAGGTGAATGATCATATAACTAACAGTAGATTCATATAACATGATAGGTATTTGATGCACAGAAAGAAGTACTGGATGTTTCTTTTTGCTTTGTACATTGTTCAGGTAGAATAATATTGGAATCTGTATAGGAGGTTGTTCTACATCATTATATCTGCAAAATCTGATTCGCATGATACATCAATTAAAATCAGTAGATACTCAACTGTGTGAAAAGGAAAATGATATCCGGATAATATGAAACCACCATGTCCGATATTTTCAACCTGTACTGTTGGATACAAGGGACCAAAATAGACCAACATTTCTGTTTAAAAATCTCCCGCTTTGACACTGTCGATGCCCTGAAAATAATGTTGAAGTAATCTCAGGACCTTGATATGCCAGCTTCAGCTCTTTGACTTTACAAACACTGGACACCTGTGGCTGAGCCATATGATGAGAAAATTCGCACTCTTGTCCTATCAGAACTTGCCCAACCATTACCAGCATCACAAAAGCTATCATGCGTGTTCAACTCAGCACCCCCCGAAGAACACATACATATTATTGTGGGTATGTAGTATCGGTGATCAACTCTTATCATTGTAACATATTCTAAACATTGATACTCTACCATATCTATGTAAACAAATCATGAAAAAGTGTATCTAGTCTTGACAATCATGCTGCAGTCACTTAATGTACTTGAGGTATTAATCTTGATAGTAACATTTGAGATGCAAAACACAATTCAGTGATGTTAGTGGACAGGACTCGAATTAAGGATACTATTATGCATCTTTATCGAATGACACACATCATCAAGGTGCTGGAAATGGCCTCATGTATTATCAAGATTAATGGAGGCTCACCAAAACAAATCAATTGTTGTATGTGGATTATTCAATGCTAATACATTTGTATGCACAATGGTGGCCGAGCTCACATGTACAATAATGAATATTTACATGCTACACAATGCAATGGACATAATTGTGAAATGGGCGCTGCTGACATGTGCGCGTGGCAGACTGCAAAATAAAGATTCTGGAACTGCCCCTGTAGATATTTGTGTGTGAGAAAATACAATAGAGGAATTTATGAACGGCCACAGTGGACATTTATTACTCTCCTGCACTATTAAAACAATCTGTCCATTTTCCGTTCCAAAACAACCATCTTATCACACATTCATGTTTCCAGGACTGCAATTGAGGTTGAGAGCCCAGGATGTCAATCTTGCGTTGCTGAAAATCAACCATGCTATTCTTATTCTCCTCGATCCGCATGCAAATGATGCAGCAATCTGTGTTCCCTATTGCCAGGTAAGCCTTCTCCATATCTTGACATCCTGTATACCAAATATTTTTGTCATTATCAATGTTAGCACATCCATCGAGGCATAATGTGCGTGATTCACCTGATGCGTCCACACTGCGATTACTGCAGGGACATGAAAAAGGTTTGCAAAGGACGAACCGGCAAAGCATGTACAGCATGTGAACAGCTGTGCAGCAATTGTAAGTTCTAATCTACTTATTTTCCTTATGGGTACTCATGAATTCATGCATCAGGTCCTAAAGTGTTCGAAGAACAGTACATGATGTCACCGACGCATCTGGCACTGAGTCAGAAGAATCTGTCACTGAGTCAGAATCTTCAGACTTGTTAGATGACGTGATTGTCTTGGACCACAAACCGTCCAATTGGATTGACAGGTCTCCAGGAAAGTCTAAAAAGAGAAGGCGAGAGGAAGATCAGATGATGAAGTGATCATCTTGGATGATAAGCCAGCTGACTGGATCAATAGGCAGAAACGGAGACACCAAGACTGAAGCAGACATAATGGACCCAAGTATCATTTCTACACGGAGGAGATGCACTAAATTGTAGTATAGACATGTAAATAAATGAATCAATGTACATTACTATATATTCCTGGTAAAAGATACATATACAATAGTACATATTTATACAGAGGCATCGAAATGATTGCGAACCCGTCCAAGTCCGAGCAGCATTGGCTACCAAACTCTCCTATCACATGTATTTATATGAGGGGAATGGTTGTGAATAGATCGATACACATTTTCATGCTCACCCCAGCTTTGAGATTCTGATAAACCAATTATGTCAGTCATGCTCTTAAGTACACACATAACAGGTTTAAAATTTGAATACATAATTAATGGGACAAAAATAATTGCATACAGTTGTGGATAGAATATATGACATCAACTACACATTCATCCAAATGTTCAATTTTATGTAACATCAAGGATATCGAGGAGCTGATGGAAAGAGAGCATAAATAAGTATTGCACTTTCCAAGATTCATATGCATCGTTTCTATTTTTGCAGTTTCCTTGGCATTGTAGAGTTAGTATTTTCCTGCACTGTCACCCAGAGACCTTGTGCATAGAGATACAAACATACAAAGTGTTGTATAGTCAGTATCTCTGAGTAGTCTCGCTGTCCCATCGTAATAGTCCTCAACATCTTCTCAGTCGCCAAAGTCGTCACATTCATCATATGTCTCAAAGTAGGTTTTCAATATCCTCGATGTCGCCAAAGTCATTAAAGTCATAATATGTCTCAAAAGTAGGTCCTCAATGTCCTCAATGTCGCCAAAGTCGTCAAAGTCATCATATGTCTCAAAATTAGGTCCTCAATGTCCTCGATGTTGCCAAAGTCTTCGAAGTCATGATAGTCCTCAAAATGTCCTTAAAGTCATACTAAGTAGTAATAGCCATTAGAGTCTCCCAAGTCGCCAAAGTCATCAAAGTCATTAAACTGGCTCAAAAGTTCTGGTAGTCGTGTGTCGGAAATTTCTAGGCACCATTGTAGGTCCCTGGTAGACATTTTAAGGACAAATTTTCACATAGGCCATTATAATGCATGCGGATGACACACAATTTTATTTTAAGACCTTATAATGGTTGCCGTCGTCCATTGCAAGGCATTTGGATGGCCGTGTCATGACACGTGAGACACGGGCCTTGAAAGGCATTGTAATGCTGACATCAACCTTGAAATAGAAAAATAATAATTTAATGATCCACGTGATCTTTCAACACTTTCAACCGAACTTTAATTGTTGTACTACCATTTTATTTGTACAACTATCCTATTTATGTTACTATCTAATCATTATCTAGTACTATTATTAACTACTGTCTATCTAATCATGATCTATACTACTATTATTAACTATTGTAATGTACACTGGTGGGATTCGAACTCTAGACTTTGACCTTACCAAGTAGAACTGTAGTATTAACTGGCATAGTTACCCCTTAGCCAAACGGCCACATATAAGATGGAACCCCAATGCTATATGTGCACATTATAAGGTCCTTATAAGGCAACATAATGTCTTACCCAAAACTTAAGTTGCGGTTGAGGCCATCAAGTCTAAGGTTAAAATTGTAGCATTGCATATCAATCAAAACACATCTGACATCAAGTATGTAGTCCTAAGTACGAGGAGAGACTGATGTAAAGTCCAGAGTAGGAATAGCTAATGATAAGACCGAATAATAACAACCAAATGCTCTGAATCACCTCGTTGTTGGTTTCTTGCTGCATGTGCTAATGCGTTTGGGTTTCGGAACATCTGGTACAGCAGCAGGGACAGGCTGAGCTGAAATACGACCCCGACGCCATGCTTTTCCACCTGCTGGTTCAGTCTGCGCTGCCGAAGAATCACGATCAGTTAGCGATAACTGACTAACATCCACCTGTAGCTGCGTAGAAGACACGCCGGCACGTGGCTGGCTGATTGACATTGATGTTGAGACAATGATACAGTCATCCTGGGTGGTAGGATCTGCAGGTGCTGCAGAAAGAGCAGAGAGATTGGAAAGAGCCGGCGAGGGTGCGCGGAAAACAGGAAGAGTTGGCGAGGGTGCACGAGCAACAGGATTATCCAATTCCTCCAATAGGTCATCTTCCCAGGTGCGAGGGATGGAGGCAGAGGGTACAACGGATGCGGGTGCACTCAATAGCGCTGCACGGGTGTTGAAAACTTCCTTATTGAAGTATTCCATCACGCCAATTGCCCATGGAGAGCTTTTGAATAAGCGTTCCAGATAGAAGTCGTAATCCTTCTGGTAATCGATCTTCGTCTCTGCTCCGGTCGCAGTGAGCTCGGTATCGTGCGTTAACAAGAAACGTGCCTGTGAATGAATAATCAGCAATGATGCAAAGCAAAGGACGGACAATGATAGAATACTTACCAATATAGCAGCGCCAGCAATCATACCCTCAGTAACACTCTGCGCACCCATTCGCAGACCCCTGCCCTTTGGATGGCCCCTTGTCTTCCCACCAAGTATCGCCTTTCCATACACTTCAACGCGAATAATCTAGTATGAGCAATAGAGTTAGCCATCATACTTGGACATTGATCAGTGGCACTTACTTTGACGAGCACTGGAGACTTGAGGAAATCATCGGCTGACATAGCATTGGGCTTCGCAAATAGCACAGGTGCAAGGCGGATGTAATCGCCCTCTCCATTCCTCTTGAGCAGGACAAGGAGATCCTTGTTGTCCTGCTTTTTGGAAGGCTGGTCGGCAAAGATGCTGGGGTCGAGCTTGAAAGGAGAGAATATAACACCTGCACAATCCTTGATACTGTGCAGAATGTTTGACCTCTCGGAGCTGACTGCCGAACGAAACTAAGGCCAACAGAAGTATCAGCGTGAAATTTGGCAGTGTTTGAATCATAAACTTACCAATGATCCGAAACGTGGATAGGTTTCCATGGAGGTGTGCAAGTCTTTAGGTATGATCTGATACAGCTCAGCCATTGCACCTTTAAGCTTCGCATCGGGAGAGCTCCAACGTGTAGCGGCGCGTGGGTCGACATTAGCAGGTTGAGGAGAAGTCGGAAACAGACCGTTTATGACCCAGAAATGACTAAACAGGGTATACTTCTGTCCTTGGTGGGTGATGCTGGAATCCAGTGGAGACGTCTTCTTGAGCATGCGGTTGCGGCTGCGAGCAGGAATTGCAGATGAAAGAGTGAGATACTGTTTCTTGAGGACCCGTAGTTCAGAACGTGTTGCATGGTAAGCTTGCTGGGCTACCGCAAGGGCCTGATACGTAAGAGCATATATCAGATGATGTTGTAGACTAATAAGAATGATATAAGTGTCGTGCCTACCTTTCGAACATCATGCATTTGTGCATCTGGCCCAGGGACAGCCAGGACCGTCCTTACTGCATCCAAGTCGCTCCCAGATACTTCACCATCAGATCCATCAGAATCAGAATCATCCGAGACGGCGTTAATCTCAGCCTCGAAATCTTCCCCAGCATCCATGTCATACGGCATGACAGTGTCTCTAAAACTGAGTGAGAGTGAGTGAGTTAATGGGACGCGAGGATGAAATACCCATTGCCCACTTTATATAACATGCTCCGGGGCGATGCACCGATGGACTCGGTTCCAGAACAAAGTATTACGTTGAAATAGAAACATGTGGACCACAGGTGTCGATTTGCCGAGGTTGCTGGTCCTCGCTAACAGAATCAAGGCGATACACACTTACGACAACGTTGATAATTGTACATCAGTATGTTTCGCTAATAAGGACCAATACATAATAAGTCAGACTCACCTGTAAGTGCTAGGCGATTCTGAGCTGAGGCGTCTTTGGTAAAAAAACACACGCGTGTTGTTCGGATATTTCCTGTGAAACATAATGAGCATTCCTATCCAAATACTGAGTAGACTTACCGGTCTAATTTGGAGGCTGGTTTGAGGCGTCTTTGGTAAAAAACGCACGCGTGTTGTTTGGATATCCCTGTAGAATATTATGAGCATTCCTACCTAAATAATAAGTAGACTTACTCGTGTAAATTTGGAGGCGTCTTTGGTGAAAAACGCATGCGTGTTGTTCGGATATTTCCTGCAAGACATGATAAGCATTCCTATCCAAATACTGAGTAGACTTACTCGTCTGAATTTGGAGGCGGGTTTGAGGCATCTTTGGTAAAAAATGCACGCATGTTGTTTGGATATTCCTGCAGAACATCATGAGCGGTCCTACCCAAATACTGAATGGACTTACTCATATGTGTTTCATTCGCAGAAACATGTCACCGTCAATGTGATCAACAACGAAGTATTCATCTTGATGCTCAGAATCAGGGACTAGAACAGCTCCTCGAATGAAAGATTTAAGCGGGACAAATATTGATGACGACCTCGGGACAGCCTTGACACGAGTAAGCTTGAAGGTGGAGTCTGTTCTGCGAGGACCGACTCTAGCAGTGTATGGTTGAACAAGTGCGAATTCGAAGGGCCCGAGATTCGAAATATGACATCTGAACATGAAAATTAGCTGGACGAAGGCTGTTTCCTCAGCGGTCAGTTGTATGAGCGCGTGATCGAATCGTGGCCGCCCATGGAATTTGGGGTTGCACCGAAGGTGGTCGGTATTTTGCCTCCAGTCCACAGCCGACTCATAGTTCACCTTGAGATAGCGGTGCTCGTGAATCTGTGTACCATGTTAGTATGATGCATTAGACAACTTGTACAGGATACTATTAGCATACCTTGAAATCGCCTGGGAATGTAACCCAACTCGTCAGTTGATGGCCATAGGTAGGCAGAGCATTGTTGATGAATTCACTAAATTTCCGACGAAAAGATTGAAACGCACGATCCGTTTGACCACGACTCTCAACGCCAAGGATGTCTAAGGGTGGCACCGGAGAGCCAAGTTTCACGTGGCCATTAAAGGCTACAGGAACATCAATGTCTTCATCAAGCCCGCCATCGCCGAGTGCCTGCAACCGGCAGTGTTCATCAAGCGTGTTGACACGTTCTCTCAGAAGTTTCGAGGCGAATTTGTGGTGATCAATACGAAGTATCTATCAATACAATTGTGTATGATGTGAATCAGTCTGAGTACTAACAACAAATGTATCTTGTAAACTTACTTGCGTCGCGGTATCCTTTCCATTCGTTCGACGGTGATAGGTGTCTTTGAGGGGGCCATGAAGCTTCTCGTTCGGACGCGTGCTGTAGTTACGTGCTACTCCTTTAAGTCGGATATCACGAACAACATGTTTCCATAGGTGGGTCTTCGGAAAGTTCCAGTCAAGCTTCAATTTCTCGACCTCCGACTCTTCAGCGCATGTAATATAAGCCTAGGAATGAATGTGTCGTGTAAATGAGTATAATTAGCTACATAGACAACAAGTAAAGACTAAACCTTGAGCTCAGCATCGAAAACTAAGAGCTCGGCGTCGATCGCTGCAAGTGTGCGCTCAGTATGCAAATCCAGACCGATCCAGCTATCCAGCTGGAGATAACTGCTGATAACGCGAAGCAGCTGGTGGCCTACAGGACTGGCTCTGTGCGTCAGGATGTTCAAAGCCGGATATAATGTTTGCTTCAAGATAATGAGTGATATGAAAGATCACAAAACAAGCCAAAAAACTTACCTTAGAGAGGTCCTGGTATTTGTTGCCATCAGTGAATGTAATGTTGATAACGGATTCGAAATGAGTGAGGTGGCGCCATCGGGGGAAGTTAGCGATCCTGTAACTGTGAGAACAGGATAGGTGTGAATACAATCGACAACTTACGACTTCTCGAATGCTTCTTGAGCATCGCGTCCAAGCGACGCGAGGATTTTCTTCAATTCTTCAAGTAGGTGCTTCCACAGACCGGCGTGCAATGAATGCAGCCGATCTAAACTAAGTGCATCGTGGGGACTCGAACGCAAGATGAGCCAAAAAACATTCTAAGCTTCATATTAGCAAGGAATGAGTTTGAAACAACACAAGTGCGTACCGCAACAGGTCGTAATCCGAGCGCTTTGAGTATCTGCTCGCCTTCAGCTTTACTGCACCCATAAATACGGAGAGCTTCTTGTGCTTCTTCCACGGTTCTGATTGGGTAGCTCTTTGACAGGTCGTGGAGCTCCGCTAATGGTACTAGGCACACGGGGCAAGGGCATTTGCCACCGCGGCCACGTATCAGCGACATCATGCACCTGTTGAATGAAATAGGTTAGTATTAATGTAAGACCAATAAGAAAAGAGCAAAAGGCCATGAGCGTGTTTACCCTTGAAGGCACCAGCAGCGACGAGATGGAAAACGAACTCACTGTTCTTCATAGTCAGCCGAAAGAATCAGTATCACAGGAAACAGCCATCGCGGAATGCCATTATAGCCCTTGTGTGAATATCCAGTCTTTGAGTGCTGGGCGACATGTTCCAGGAGCTTGAAAAATGATTCATGCCACACAACGCGCTTCAACGTTGTGTATCCGAGTTTTCCTTCTTCGGCTGCATCGTCAGGAACCTGCAACATGTAAATTCAACAATCTGACATATATTGAGAACGAAACAACTCACAATAGGCAACCATCCGACTACACGACCACCACCAAACCCCTCGCCATTACGGATGTCTACAGGTAAGTTTGCGCATCGGACTACAACTGGATACCCTTTGACGGTACCATGAGACGACAGCTTCGACTTATCAGCGTAGAGAATGAAACAGAATGGGACAGCGTTTTCAACGTCGGGCGGAAGAGAAGACTATTGGTTTGACATTTATATACATTTACACACGATATGACACAGTTAATTGTAACGCACTTGAATATCCCACCACCGATCTCCTGTCCAAGGTTCATTGAAAAAGCGTTCGAAATCCGTACCGTTGTGCTTGTAAACACGGCAGGCATCCCACACGAAATGCGGTGCGAGCAGGGGGTTGTCCAGTAGATCGAGGGCCCAATCCCACACAGGCCGTGTGTGGACCTCGTATTCTTGCTCCTTCCTCTTGTATATCACAGGGACTTCGTGCTTTGAAAACTAATGGCAGGTTGCCTAAGGCATTGAGCGATATGATCATGTAAGTAGATTCAGTCAGACACACCGGTGTTAATTCAGCCGCAGCATTGTCCCATGCCCTCGAAAGATCTGTCTCATTCTTCAGAGTGATTTGAGCTTGACCTTGAGCGATGCGCGAAATGAGTTCAAGGAGGGCATTTATTTGAGACTTATTTAGCGCAGCATCAAGCGCAATCTCAGAGAATTCGAAGTCCCCGCGTGACCTGAAAGGACGCCATGGTTCCTCGTCAACGGGTGCGTGCTGCATCTCCTGAGTGATACCGAATTCGTCGAACATCTGGTAGAGAGTCGCACGAGCAGAGCGAGGGTGATACTCTGTTTTGAATTCGCTGGGCATTTGCACAGATGCCGCATGAGGCTGGACAACCGTGGGGTTGCTAGCCATGCTGGCATCGGATAGTACTGAGCGAAAACGATGGGTCAGCAAGATGCAGTAGATTGTAGGTTAATACTTACCGGGGCTAGTTGGATTCCCGTGTTCATCCTCGAGTTGGCTATAGTCGAAGTCTTGGAGATCGTCGATGGGGGCATGGTGAACTTGAATGTCATTCGATGGGCCAGCCTCGCTGGTTGCAGCCTTTCGGCGAGCCTTTCGTGCTAGAATGCAAAAGATCAATTAATATGACTCAGATACAAGGTGATGGTGCGATGAGTCAAACTCACCATTTTGTTTCCCCTTCTCATACTCCTGGTTGAATCGATGTCGCTCCTGCTCATTTTCGATCCGTTTCTTGCAGCTAGCCTCATGTTTCTTGAAGCCCTGCGTTTTGAATGACTTGCCGCAATGAGTGCACGGCAGCTGGGCCTTTAGCGTCTCTTCTGAATAATGGTACTTCTCTCGACGAGAAGTACGAGTCGGAGCCATCAGATGTAACAATATGAATAGAGTGTACAAGTGTACAATATTTACAAAGAGGATGGGACAGCTGGCCGCGAGGCTGATGCGGAATGGAACAAAGTTATGCGCCGATAGCACGTTACGGTGCATTATGATGATTGTCTCACGGTCGAAAGGCCATCACCGAGCCTCGAAAGGCCATCACCGAGCATCAAAAGGCACTTTTAAGGTGCCTTGAAAGTCACCTGACCGGCATTATAAGCCGGTGGCATTACAATGGCCCTTACCTTTTTTCCGACATGATAATCCCCAATGTATCCTAAACCGCCAAAGTCGTCAGAGTCAAAATAATCCTCAAAATGTCCTTGATTTCATAGTCAGTCATCAAAGTCCAACTACGTCCTCAAAGTCCTAATACTCCTCATATACATAGCCCAGATATGTCATCAAAGTCTGTTAAATTGGTAAAGTCATCCAAGTCGCCCCCAGTGTCCTTTAAGATACTAGCAAGTACTCAAAGTACTCAAAGGCATACTAGTTGGCCCAAAATTCTGATTATAAAAAGTCTTAGTAGGTCCAGAAATCCTTCAAGTCCAACTATATCTCACAAGCAAACTGATCACAGAACTTCCAAATCTATATTCTGATACTTCGGAATCTCAGAGGAGGAGTCACAGAAGTTGGACAAGTAATAACTGAATTACCATTCATGGAATATTGGTTTGTTTTCAACATCTTCTCACAACCCTTTCATTTCGACATCAATGTCTCACTAGATCATTATTAGTCTGTAATTCAGACTAGTCATCTCGCAGTAAAGTGAAACTGATTACAGCCCATTTCCCACTGTCAGTATGATAATCATCCAAACCTGTCATGGTCGAAATC